TAAGTTATTCAAATTAGATTGGAATTAATTATAGATTCAGCCATTATTAAGTTAGAATCAAAAAAAAGCAGATGCCCCTAGCTCTCCCACAAAAAATTGTTCATCTCTGTTATTTTGACCAATCAAATTTCAGGATTAGGTATAACGTAAAAATTAAAACAAAACACTTTTTTACAAAATTTTAATTAGGAAACTGCCTTCTATAGCCTAATTAAAAATATTCCTCATGATGTTTTACTATAGATGCTATATTGTTCTAATCCTAACTTTAACTATAACACAGTTTTCTTGGTTTTCATTTTACACGTAACTTTTTGACTTAGAAAACAAAATACATCTGTTTTGACACCTGATCTTAAATTTTGATTGATCAAAATTACCAAAAATAAACAATTTTTTGTGGAAACATTACCTAAAATGAAAAGATAGTGTAATGCTGGATTTTGAGATAGAGGGCAGTTAACTAACATAAAACATGAGCATAGTTGTTGGAAATTATTAGTAATATGGCAATTTGTTCAGTAAAATTACTAAAAAATTACTAAAATTACCAATAGGAGATCATTCTATATGACTGTTTTGTGATTTTGGTTTGACAAAAATTTTTTTAATAATATGGTCAGCTCGGTCAACCGGCCTGAGTAATTTTGTCAGCTAGATCAGCCCAAGTATTTGGCATCAGTCTATATTACTATAAAACAAATAAGCAACACAGATTCAATTCTCACCAGGAGTTTAATATGGGTAAACATAAGATATATGAGCAGCACTTGAAGTCTGTTGAGAAAAGCAATTTGAAGGGACAATGTAGTCTTGGATTTTGCTATGAAAAGAAGATTGGAGTAAAAATAGATAAATGTAAAGTATACAATTATTATCAGGAATCTGCTAATTGTATTGTAAATAAAATTGGTGACATAAAGGTAGCAAAAAACATTGATAAGACTGAAAAAAAAATAGAATGAATCGAAGATATGAATGAAAATATTGAAGATGATAAACAATGTTGTGTCATCATGAAGTGTAAAATGAATGAAGATAAAAAAAAGAATGAAGGTAACAAAATGAAAGAGGTAGTTAGTACAGGCAATAATGAACCACCACAAACAAGCAATGAAGAAAATAAAAACTCACCTTTATCAAGTAACTAGTCAGCCAAAAAGATCGAATATACAAGCAAAATATTCAACGATGAGATTGTTAAAAAGTTATTTAACGAATCTAACAATACTAATGCAAAGAATCAATATAATCACAAATAGTACAACAAAAATAGTAAAAGCTCAGATAAGAATGAAAAAAAGAGAACCTTCTTTACGAATGGAGTAAAATATACTCTTATCACTTGTATTGTAGAGGAATTTTTTCAGTATTTGCAGGCTTTCTTACTTTTAAACCTTATAATATCTATAAACCCAACTATTCTCTTCAATTAGATGAATATCCTCTAGAGTTACCAACCTGACGTACTATCCGTACTATATGTTATTC